CCACTCCTCGTCAAACCCCAATCATACCCTTTTGTCGCCATGTCCTCGAGCAACTCGGTCACTTCGGGTGGAGTCTTGTTCATCAACTTCTCTTGACATAAAGAGTCAATGTGAATATTGTCCTCTTGGTGGAGACCGCCATAGAAGGTCTCGATCCAAAATTGCTCCTCGAATCCGTGGTGTGGGCATTGAAGGAAGTAATCAGAGTATCTCTCCCATGTATCCCTCAATGACTCATCCTCCTCTTGCTCGAAATGAGCGATCTTCTTGCACCACTCCGCCGTCTTGGAAGGAGGACAATATCGAGTCATGAACTTGTTGACCAAGTCATCCCACGAGGTGATCAAGAGAGCCAGTCTATTGTTGAGCCTTCGAAATGCATTCCTCGCAAGAGAGTAGGGAAATAGTCTCAACTTCAAAGCGTCCTCGGGGACCCCATTTATCTTCAAACTTCACGTAAGCTTGATGAACCTCTGGTCAAGTGAACAAGTGAACAAACACCACTCTCTTGGTCAATAGGTCAAGGGAATTCGATTCAACCCACCAAAGTAGCTCTCTTGACCTATTGACTAAGGGTTGCCAAGACTTCACCCTCGAATCGGAGTTCGGACAGCTAAATTACAACCAACCCTAGGTGCTAATACGAACAAAGAGGGTTGCCCTACATTAACTTAGATAGGAGACAAGATTTGCCTAAAAATCCCCAGCTTTGCAAGCGTCTTTCAAAGAAAGGGAGTTTTCTCTCTACCTAGGTTAGAATGGCAAATAGATTGATAGGCAAACACACAACACAATCTTCCATGAAAATACCTCCAAATTCATATTAAAACACATCCACACACAAATCATTCAACTCATACAAACATTCACATAATTGTAGCTAGGGTTTACAAACACCCAAGTGAAATAAGGGACTACTCCATGCTAGGAGAAGGGAAAACACAAGGGAGAAGAAGGAAACCCATCATGGATATGCTAGCCTTGCTCCATGTGTTGAAGAGATCCTCCTTTGGGGAAGGAATTCCCAAAACCTTGTTTGAAGATGAAACCTAGCTTCTTCTCTTCTTTGGTTCGTCACTTTCTCACTCTAGAAATCTGGAGAAGAAGAAGTTTATCACACTAGGTCTCTCCCCTTTTCCTTCAGCTCAGTCCTCCTTTTATACCTTGGTCGCAGTCAGTTCACAGTCTTAGTTCACGGTCGTGAACATTCCTCATGGACCGTGATGTCGAACTGATACGCGTTGTTTAATTTAGTCTGTTCACGATCTTACGACCATGAACTGACTGGGAGTCCGCGAGACGTGCAAACGCTCTTGGAACCTTGGCGCTTCTCGGTCTAGGAGCTATTATCACGGTCCTAAGACCGTGAAAACTCATCTTGGGTCGTGATCCTCAGCTGCTTACCCTCTTTGACTTGTTTTCGCGCCTTTTCGTCCCACTTTCGATTCCGGGGTTAGTTCAACCTGCTAGGGTCTGAAACATACTAAAACAAAGCACAATCTAGCGTAAAACCACACCTCATGGAGTACAAAAGCATTAAACGTCTAAGGAAAACGGGGATAAAAAGTGTATAATTGCACCCGAATCAAGGACCATTTCCCGCTCCCTTTCATTGACCAGATGCTGAATAGGCTAGCGAGACACGATTTCTATTGCTTCATGGATGGCATGTCCGGATACTTTCAAATCCCGATCGCACCGGAGGACTAGGTGAAGACCACTTTCACATGCCCTTTCGACACTTTTGCTTACCGACGGATTTCATTCAGTCTCTGCAATGCACCGGCGACCTTCCAGCGGTACATGTTGGCTATCTTCGACCGACTGGTTGGAGGGAATATGGAAGTCTTCATCAATGACTTCTCGGTTCATGGAGACTCCTTCTCTCATTATCTCCATAACCTAGAACTTGTCATAAAGAGGTGCGAGGAGACGAAGTTGGCACTCAGCTGAGAGAAGTGTTATTTCATGGTTCGAGAAGGAATTGTACTTGGGAACAAGATCTCCTAGCAGGGGATTGAGGTAGATCGGGCGAAGATAGGACAATCAGTAAGCTACCTCATCTTGTTTCTGTGAAGGGGATACGTAGCTTTCTTGGTCATGCAGGCTTCTACTAGAGATTCATCAAGAATTTCTCGAAGATTGCCTTACCTTTGACCAAGCTGTTAGAGAAGGATGCACAATTATACTTCACTATAGAGTTCACAACTGCATTTGAGACATTGAAGGAGAAGCTTACCCATGCACTCATCATAGTGACTCCAGATTGGTCTCTCCCATTTGAGTTGATGTGCGATGCGAGTGACTATGAGGTCAAAGCTGTTCTTGGTCAGAGACGCGACAAACATTTCCATCTCGGCTACTATGCGTCGAAGACCTTGAACAATTCATAGGAGAACTACATCACCACTGAGAAGGGGTGGCTCGATGTGGTGTATGCCTTCGACAAGTTCCAACCCTAATTGGTGCTCTCGCATGCGGTGGTCTACACAGACCACTCTGCTATCGCTACCTGATGAGCAAGGTTGATGCCAAGCCTAGGCTCATCCGCTGAATCCTACTGCTGCAGGAGTTTGACATTGAGATCCGGGACAAGAAAGGAGTAGAGAACGTTGATGCAGATCATCTTTCATGATTGCAAGCCTTTTCGGTGGACAATTTTGTGGAAGAGACCAACGACTTATTCCCGGATGAGCGATTGCTGGCGCTGTGCTTGGTTGGGAGTGTCACCCCTTGGTACTCTAATCTTGCCAATTATCTGGTGGGCAAGCAGTTACCTAAGGGGATGGCCACTCACGCTAAGCGCAAATTCTTCTCCAACCTGTAGTACTATTTCTAAGAGGATCCATACATCTTCAGGATCAGAGCAGATGGCGTGATAAGACGATGCGTGATGGAGCATGAGAAAGGGAGCAAACTATTGCACTATGGAGGGAATTTCAGAGGAGGTTAGGAAGGGATAAGAACAAAGATAAAAAAGCACAAAAAATATTTTAAATTAAAAAAATGCAAGGACACAACACATAGTAAAATAAATAGTTTCTTCCATGTTAGCCAATTACCAATTTACCCTTAGCAAAAATAAAGAAGATAATAGAAATTTGAAAATGGGAAACGTTACATGAAACTCTACTATGAAAATCGATGTATCAAGCACTATAAATATACTTACATGAGACTTAGTAGGCAATCTAATCATGGTGTAAAAGTCCTTTGGTTTTCAGAGTTTAACTTCGTCTATGGTTGTATTAAAAACGCTACAATAAACTTGTTTAGTGTAATTGGTTATTCTTGTTGTTTTTGTTTGAATAGTCTCTGGTTCTAATCTTGATATCAATATCTTTTTATATCGATTAATAAAGAATTGTGAAGAATAAAATGCACTTCCTACTTTCGCTCTTGTTACAGGAAATTTGAAATGGAGAAAAATATACAAAACTCTACCATATTTTATTGGAGGAAGGGAGGATGGTTATATATTAATTAATTTATTATAATTATTTAATAGTATAACTAATTAGTTCTACAATAACCCATTATGGGTATGGGCTCAGGCGCCCCCATCGGCCCATAAAAAACAAGGCAGCACATTGCCTTAGGCCACAGACAGAAAACAGGCCATTGGACAGTCCTCTATTCGGACAAATCGGGTTACCCCAACCGAACTGGATTATATCTTGGTTCAGAATGAGAGAACCCGTATATTCTTCGGCTCGGCTTCTGGCTTGTCATTAGGTGTTGTACGGTTTGGATTAGTTCAATTTCGAGTGAACTGACCGAATGCCTACCCTATTCAGATTGCCTTGTTTGTTAGTTTCACATTTTGCGAATTATTCGAATCAATAACGCTACTAGTTTCCAACGACACTGTGAGTATGTGACGAGCTAATAGCGGCTAATTTCGGTTGTATATACTATGAGCCTTATATGTAACCAATAGTAACTCTTAGTTCACATTAACACTAACCCAATCGTTCGATAGAATAGAATCTCCTTGTCCATCTTCACTTGGTCTGGGTTCAGAGAACTTTAGCAGAGGGACTGGGAGATTTGCATCACCCATGTCTATAGAGAGGCGAACTTTTTAGCTGATAGCCTTGCTCATCGAGGCCATAATCTTCCTATTGGCTCCCATGTTGTTTGCCTGTCTGATTCGGCTATTGCTCATTTATGTATTTTGACAATATTAGTGGTTTCACCGTTCGTTTCCTTTATGAGTAAGAGGTAGTGTTTGCACCCTTTTCACGAAGAAGAAAAAAATCTTTACTTGGCCTAGTCGTGGTTAGGGGTGGGCAACGATTCGATTCACATCGGATCGAATCGGACCGAATCGACTCTCACACCAAATCGGATCGAACTGTTTATCTTTCGATTCGACTTTGGTTCCTGAATTTGGGATATTTTCGGTTTTGGTTCGGTCCAGACCGAAACCGTAAAATCAAGCTAAGGACCGGAACGAATCGTAATTACTTTAATTGCCTATTTTATTAGGCTCTTAGAAGGCAAGTTGACTTGGAGTTGAAAATCCTAGTACCCTACATGACACTTAACTACCTATAAATATGATTGACTTTCCCTTACTTTGACTCGCCGCTCCCGCTCCTATAGTCCTACCCTCAAATCAGAGTTCTCATCTGCGTTGCTTCATCAAGAGAGCTGCCTACTTTACCTACAAACTGTGAACCATGTATTTATATTGTGATCTCTTTTCTTGTTTAATGTTTCAGATATGGAGAAGATGCGAATAAATGACACCAATGAGTGATTTTATACGAATGAAAGATTAGTCGGTCCAATAGGATGGTCCAAACCGAATCGAGCCATATATGGTTTGATCCGGACCGAATCAAAGTAATAACGATTCGACTTTGATCCTTGATTTAGAAGAAATTTTGGTCCGATCCGATGATAATTTGGTCCGATCTTGGACCGAATCGACCGATGCCTACCCCTAGTCGTGGTGTTGGGACCAAGCTCTAGGGTAAAAATCATCTGATCTAGTTACCGTCCGATGGTGACGGGTAAAAAAACGGTACCGTCTTCCGAACCCTGGGGGCTCTGCAGCCCGCCAAACGAAAACGATGATGTGGCAATGGCATCCTTCTCCTTCTGCAGTTACCGTCGCCGCTGCTCGCTGCTTCTTCACTTCCTCGACTACCACTTTAAAACCCTATTGCTTCTCCTCCTCTGCCAACTCAACCCTTCTTTGTAACCTCGTCTCCGTTTCCCCTCCGCAAGTTCCAATGTCGACGATAGACGAAGCCGACGTCGGAATCCTCTGCTACATCTCCAAAACCCCCGGATTCCGGGGCATTCTCAAGCAAAGGTAAACTGGTTTTTACTTCTATATATGAAAATCTAGATAATGGCTTTTTCCAGATGGTTTGAGTTTCGAGGAACTGAATTCTTTGTTTAGGTATGCTGATTTCATTGTGAATGAAGTTGACACTGAAGGAAATGTGGTTCATTTGACCTCTTTGGACGCTCCTGCTCAAGTGGGTCGCCCCTTTGCTTTCCACTCTTTGTTACTCACTTATTTCCTTGGTTGTCTCTGCTTTTTGCTTGGGTTTCCCCCCTTGATTTGATTTTGGACACTGGTTTCAGGAGGTAGTGGAGGAAACCGAGACGAAGAAAAGTGATCAAGTGACAAAAGAGAGTTACGAGTCTGAAATTCAGGCCTTCCGATTACTCGCTGGGGAATCTGATGGTGATCTTTTGGAGGGTTTGATCAATCAAGTTAATTCTGGAAGTGAAGATGGAATTCCGCCTATTGTACTATCTCCGGATACAGATAAAGGCCATAGAACGGTTGGTTTGTGTCTCTTACTGTTTTCGATGCTCCAACTCGATTAGTAATGGAATTAGATTTGATGGTTCTGTTGGATTTATTCAGGCAGTGCATAATTTCTTCAAGGAGAAGTTAAAGTTCCTTGTCACTGATACTGTCGACGGACCGGATGCTTCATCGAAATGCATTCGTGTGAGGTTGAATTCTGGGGGTGGAGGCAATAATAGTGGAAGAAGTTCTAGGAAACGGAAAGAAAGATGCGATAAGGCCTTCGACAGTAGAGGTTCCAAAAGTTGGCCAGACCATGTTGGCAAGTTTCTAAGGTGATCAGCATATCATTATTCCTTCGTCGATAATTGCTGTGTTCTTAACAGAAGCATTATTCACTTGGTGTAGTGACATGTGCGATCTTGTATCATACATGGTAATTTTGGATTAGCTGGAGGATATAGTTTCAATTTTGCATAAATACTGAAGGTTCTGTCGCCTTTGGGTGGTCAGGTTTCATCTGTACAAGGAGAACAAAGACACACAGGAGGCGATTGGTCTCCTAGGAAAGATGCTTGGCATTAAGGTATGCCCTATGTATGTGTGCTTTTTTTGGGATGGATGACAAATCCTTGTTCTATTTTTCAGTGTCTTCCTCCGACTTTCTTCTGTACTAATGACTGAAGGGATGTTTCGATTTTGACCGAGGGCATGACAAGGAATATTAATGACTATTTTTGTGAACAGCCAAGGGCATTCGGGTTTTCAGGAACCAAAGATAAACGAGCTATCACCACTCAAAGGGTGAGCCTACTGGCCCTAATGATTTTTGCTATGAACATCAATTTTGTTCTTGATTCTCGGGATCTACCTTCTTCAGTGCAAAGTTCGTTTTTAGTATATTAAATAAATACAGCTGGAACTTCATTTTAAGATCTTCTCGGCGAGGTGTAATTTTTCGTGTTCACAAAATTGAAACTACGGATGAAATGCCTCTATTGGGAGGATAACATTTTCAGTGGATAATTTGGGTCTGCTTCAGGTAACCGTCTTCAAGCAGCAAGCGACTAGAGTAGCTGCTCTGAACGACCGATTGATTGGTATAAAAGTGGGTGACTTCTGGTAAGTTGAAATCATCACAAGAACTGCACTTTTTACCCAAATTGTTGCATAAATGTGTTAATTGCTGGGAAATTGCCTCAGCTATGTCAATGAGGAACTTCTTCTCGGACAGCTCTCAGGCAACAGGTTCACAATCACATTAAGGTATGCATATGCTCTCGTTTGATCAATTTTCTCACCATCTTGCAGTTTAGCTCTGACAGTATTTTTTTTAATATATTCATTCCTTTAGAGGAGTTGTTGCAGATTGCGAAGAGACCATCAAAGCATCTGCTGAATCTTTGGGGTTGCATGGGTTCATCAACTATTTCGGTCTGCAGGTACTTTCCTGTTCCTAGTTTCTGCTTGTGTGTCAACAAAGGGCTGCATTCATGTTTTTTAACGTTTGTTAGCTTTCATTGGCGGTTTTCAAGAATAGATGGTTCAAGGACTGACATTGTGCTCATTTGTGTTATGAAATTGGCTCTCTCTCTAGCGTTTTGGAAGTGGTTCTGTAGCAACGCATCTTGTTGGTGCAGCTTTGCTTCGTGGAGAGTGGAAAACAGCCGTAAGCTTGATCCTTGATCCAAGAGAAGGAGATATCCTTTTTCACATTAGAGCCTATGTTTGAATTATCCAAAATCCTGGAACTTCGGGGAACGTATAAGCACTAGGTTTTTCTTGACTTGAATCTTTCAATACAAAGAGATGCAGTAAGAATGGTGAGGGAATATTACAAGGAAAGCAATGACATTGATGGAACCTTAAGGCAATTGCCGCGCTATATGGTAGCCGAGAGGGCCATTGTAAGTTGTCTTACCTCATAGATAACTTTTTTTTCGTTTTATGTATTCGGTCTTTTCGTCTGTCATTAATTGTGGCCAACTCAGACCTGCATCCTTCCAACACTTTGCAGCTCCAATGTTTGAAGAAAGCTCCCGGGAATTACTCCCAGGCCATGAAAGCTATACCGAGGACTTTGAGAATGATGTATGTGCACAGTTACCAAAGCTATTTGTGGAACCATGCTGCAAGCATGAGGTTCCAAAAATATGGTACGTGTGCTCTGTTTATACAGATACTTTCAGTTTTTTTTCTTTTCTAGGCATCTGATTTGACAAGTGGGGTCTGTTCATTGTTGGCAGGAAGGCAAGTTGTTGTGGGAGACTTGGTATACCCGATAGATGATGTAACAGAAAAGGATACTATTGTTGCTGCTACCTCTGAATGTACGGTTGAACCTGAGGAAATCGATAATTGCAGTTATTTAGATGAAGCTTCAGCAATAGAACTTCCTGAGAAAAAAAACCTCCGTGCTAAGGTATGCTGGGCCACATTCTATGGATTTGAATTAGTTAGTAAATATTCTGTTTAATACAGGTATATATACCTGTACGTATTTTATCTGCTTAAAACTTTCGTATCTATATTATTGTCAAGCCGTTTCATTTTTTCCCGTTCATTTGATGACTCCATTACTAAACCCGTATAACACGTTTAATATCCGTATTTAATTAATTAAATTGTTAACTTTACTATTATTTATATATTTATTAATTTTTAAAATAATTAATTTTATATATTTATGACTATTACCGTACTATTAAAAATAGTATTAGCTTAGAGACGAAGTAAAATATCCGTTCGTATTTTATACGTAACTTTTCCGTACCACATTTTACTAACTATGATTTGATTGATGTTAGATTGTTAGTCATGTTGTGGTAATAGCGATTAGCTGATGCCAGATGTAATCTACAGACTACTTGAACATGTGGATTTGTGACTAAGATGCTGATTACTTCTTGCGCCATATAGGTTGTTACTGCAGAAGACATCATTGCTGGGAAATATGCTATTGATGACATCATCCTTCCAATGCCTGGGTCTAGAACAATTTTTCCCGCCAATGACATCTCTGATGTCTATCATGATTCGGCTAAGAAGGTTGGAAATGTTCCGTAGTTATTCTCTACACAGCATGGAAAGCTGGTTATTCTGTTTGCACTTATTCTAAACTACTAGATCTTTACGTGGTCGTTATCTAACTTCTGTTTTATCATAATTTGGTCCTTAATCAGGATGGTGTGAATTTAACCGAAAGTGTGCATAACGTCAAGTAAGTTATCAAGCTGCTCCAAAATTTTCTTACTGAATTCACTGCTTCTATCTAATGATCTATCTCTCCATTGAACAGGGAATTCTCGATAGCCAGCATGACTGGAAGCTATAGGCAAGTTTTTCACAAGCCGAGGGACTTCGAGTGGTATGACTTCATGAAATCCCCATGTTATTATGGCTGTCTGAAATCCTTCATGGACAGTCCTTAACTTTGTTTTTAATCGTATATGCAGGCAACTGCTCAAATACACCGATGCTAATGCACCATTAGCAGAGACCGACATGGACAGAATTGGCATGGATAAAGCTGAATGTCCTAACGAAGTCAAAGAGGAAGATATCGAGGTGCATCTTGTTGAAGCTAACAGTGGAGAAGGGGACGAGCCAGTGGAAACTGAAGAAGAAGCTCCTGGTGACCTTGATACACAGGAAACGCAATTAGCTCTGAAGTTAAGCTTCACTCTTCCAGCTTCATGCTATGCTACTATGGCCATTCGAGAGCTTCTGAAAACCTCAACATCGGTACGTACCCTTTCCTCTTAAACCCTACATCTTAATCTTGGCTACTTGTTGCTCTTGGCTAATGGAATTGATTCTTCTCCATGCCTTTTTTTTTTCCTTCTTCTGCAGGTTGCCTTCCACAAAACTCTGAATTAGAGAGCTATATGATCCCATTAGACACAGTCTGGCTCAGAGAGATTACTGAAAGAAAATGACAACCGTACAGTGGATTGCGTGGAATGTGTCACTTTAAATTAGACGATAAGTGAAAACGGAACAAAGCTTGATAGCAGCGAATTTTCAAGAGATTCCGTTACTAATTCTACAGTATCGCTGATCTTCGCCTTGTTCTTCCCTTTCCTCTCTGTCGGAACTTTTAACGACGATTTTTCTTTTTGTGGCTCCATAAGTTATACGATTTGTGCTCTTTTTAGTGACAACCCGACCCCGTCCCAGAGTCAGAACATGTTCAAGTGCGGCTGCGGAGAAGCAAAGAATCAGAAACAGAATACACAAAAACAACAAATTACCGTTGGGTCGTAATAGAGAGTTTCTATCAGGCGATCTTTATACCTCGCAGGCAACGAGAATTTCTCTGTCGCCGTCGCAACAATACTCTTCACCACCCTGTGATGGCGGCGCCACGGTCGACCGATACAGCTTGATGAACCACTGCTCCTGGACTTCACCAACGGGCACCCTTTTCGACTGTGCAGCCGACGATGAGAACCCGAGACGAGGAATCTCACTCTGCACGCTGTTCGTTCCATCGCTAGACGGCGACCGCCTTGTGTTCGACGAAATGCTCCTACGAGGTCTCTGCCTCGGCTCACTGTGAGACCTCGACTTCGCCCTGGACGACTGCGTCTTCCCCATGTAGCTCGGCTCCAGGAACGAATCCTGATTCGAAACCGGAGCTCGTCCCGATCCTGACGAGACGCCCTGTTGAGAAGCTCTGTAATGGCGGGTTGTTGCAGGACTGGTCTGGGTAGAAGAGTAAGAAGACTCCTCGTACGGCCGCTCGCGCTTAAGGTAAGAGAGGTCCCCTGAATGCCTCCTGGTGGCAACTCTCTCAGAATTCGTCTTCTCGACTGATCCGCTTTGAGCTCTCTTGATCCTCTTCTTGTCGGAAGGAGAAGCTCCGACCTTTGATGACTGATCAACAACTTCTTCTCGTTGAAGTTGCGAGTGATCGCTCATCTGGATCCTTTGGAAACGAGCTCTGACTTGGATTGACATGACGGCGTGCATCTTTCGGATTGTGGCGCTCATACGTTTCCTCACTAGATGGCCTCTAGCTAGTGCTTGTAGCTTCACCAGTGCCTTTAGGGCAGCCAGTGCTTTCCTCGCCTAGCAAAAGAAAATAGAAGACATGTCATATGATTGCAACCTGATTCGATGCAAACGCAGATTTAAGTCGAACACCCCTAGTCTGCAGTTTCACAAACGAAACAAACACGAATGGCAGCGGATAACAGAAAGGTTCTAAGTGGCGATTACCAAGTAAGACCGGAAGGCAGATTGGATCCTGGTGGCAGCAACATGTTCACTAGAGACGATCCTCAGCCGCCTGTCTGTTCCTGCTGCTTGTTGTGAAGCATTTGACTTCCTCTCGAAGTTCTTAATAGCTTCATGGATGGCCAGCGCCACAGCTTCATTGTTCCCCAGCGACGGACCCAAGAGCAGCTGCCCGATGGCGTCGGCTGACGAGGCTTGCAGAAGAGGGTTGAAGGTGGTGGTGATGGCGGCCGCGGCGGCGGTGCTGGTACTATGCCTCCTAGACAATGATTTGTCGTTGCTTGCTGATGATTTCCCAAAGCTCCATCGCCTCTTGTGATGGTGGGTTGGAGTTTGTGGCGGAAGAACAACACTAGCAGCTGTATCTATACTGCCATCTTCTGCGAAAGACGCACCATTTGAGTCCGTCTTGCTACCAACCTTCTTATTGTTGCTATTGCCTCCCTGCTTCTTCCCTAGCAGGAAATTCATCACCCATTTCCCTGCCTTCCCCATCTTAGGATGGAAAATGATCAAGCTAAGCTAATCTCAGAAGAATAAGGAAATGTGAAGTTTGAATACCAAAACCAATCTTGCTTGCATGACCATCAGAAATACTGCAGGCCATGGCTTTTACATACAGAAATCTCACAGGTCGTTTTCTCTGAGAGTGAATATATTATTACGGCAATATTGTTGTTGTGTTGTGCCTGCAGGCTGCAGATGTTTGTTTTCGCTAATTAGAAGCCATTTGGCCACCCCTTCTAACTACTCTTTGTAAAATAGGACCCATTCTCTCTCGCACTCTCCTGAGTAGTGCCAAAGTTCTTTGACCATATGGATGATAGCAAAAGAACAAGACATGTCATGATGAACAAATGTCTCTCGACTCGATTCATCCTTTTGCTGTCAAAATTCCACCTTGATCCTGTCGAGTGGTGTGGAAGTCAACAAAACAAACGCACAAAATAAATACACTGACTATGAACTATGAAGCTCAATGACTAAAATATTAACCACTACGGCTTGGGAATTAGTCTACTTGTGAGTAAAAACTAACAAGACACTGAGAATCGGAGTCATCATCGTCGCCAAGTTCCGACGAGCCACAGATTGCCGGAGCTCATCTGAATTGGATAAAGTAGTGCAAGTTTGCTACACGAACAAGAAAACTTACTACGTTAACCGTGGAAAAATAGACAGAAGGAGAAGGAAAGAGAGAGAGCTACTTCGTACAGCCTATCATCTGGACTGAGTGTTACGTCAGCTCATAGTTACAAGAAAAAGAGCTAAGAAAGCGTAGTAGCAGTGGAAGAAACATCATAAATCTTCAACTTTGGCAGTAGTATTCTCCTTGATACTCTTGGTGAGCCAAATAGCAGTCTCTCTGGGAGAAACCTTGCCCGGCCCAAACGGCTTCAGCAGCACGCCAAGCTCATCGTACCTCTCATCATTCAACAGCCTGGCGCTGAACTCGAGCAACCCTTCCAGGGCCTCAGCGCGCTGCCTGTATGACGACGTGTCGAACCTTCGTCGTCTGGTCTCTGACGAAGTCCGGCTAGATGCTCCTCCAGCTGTCGCGTTCTGGTTGGACAACGAGGAGTTATTGCTCCCGCGGTCGTCTTCATGATCCACTCCCTGCTGTTTCTGCTTGCCGAACATGCTGAAGTGGATGCCTTGCCATGCATCGGCCAAGCCGGCGGGAGGCTGCTTGGCTGCAGCAGAGTAGTTGGAGACCGTCGTGCATTTGTCCTTGGTGATCGAACATCGAGGTGGTGAGCCGCAAGAACCTTGTGCAGAAGTCGACGAAGTTCTTTGGGCGGGGAAGAATGTCGACTCTTCGTATGGAGCCAATGGGAATTCTGCTATCCTGTCAATCCTGGGAGCATTGACGGAGACGTCTGGAGATTTCAAGCTTTGGAGGATGCCGACGTTGGACCGGCAAGCAGGATCTTGTCGGGTAGTGGTAGCTTTCGTTACCATCGGCAGAGATGCTCTGCGGCTTGTTACGATCGAGTTTTTGGTCTGTGTGGATGCGACAGGGAACTGGGGACGATAAGATAAACAAAATGAAGAAAGCTGAAACTAGTAAGCAATCATAATAATAAAAATGTCATTAATTGACCCAGAAAATAGTCGGTGTATGATCTCACCGATTCTCGTTTCCTCGCATGATCCGGTTGTCTCTTAGGAGCAGCAGAAGCTCTGGAAGCAGCAGCGACCTTCCGAGCTTTGGTGACACTCGAAGGCTTTGAAATGATGGGCTTACAGATCACCGTTGCACGGCTGCTCGCGAGAGAGATGTCCGACATCCTCCGGTTCAAGTAACTTGGCATATCATGGATTCCTTTGGTGGAATAAACAGAGTCTTGGTCTGTTGCTGATATGCTGGGGTTCAACATCCTGTTGTTGCAGTAAGAATGCCGTTTCTCAGAGTAAGTGTTGGGAGCCATTACAGTGTCCAAGAATCTCGTCTTCATGTAGTTGTTGTCGGGCCATTGGTAGGGCAATGTATCACCTCTGGGGCTGTTGATCTTCACATGGATCTTGTGGACATATGGTCGAAGATGTGGATGCCTCAGCAGGTCTGCAGCCTGAACCAAGAAATGCAGCCAAGTTCAATGATATAATGATACTGAGTTTCTCAGAGTAAGTTTTGCACATGATTTGATATTAGAGAGGATGGTAATTCATTTTACCGTTGGTCGCAGTTCTGGGTTCTTCCGCAACATGCTTTTGACAAGACTTCGACTGAGAACATATAGAAATGCCATAAGAATAAGGTTCCATTTGGACCCATACCATTTACGAATTTTGTGTCGGACCTAGACCGAAACTTAAGACCTCAAAACCAACGATTCGAATTATTTCGAGTAAGTATGATAATAGAGTGACGAGGGGTCGGAGATTAGCTTACAAAGCACCGGAGTATTTGGTTGGAAGTGGAGACACGATCGACTTGTTTATTTTGTTAATCAGGGCTTGCATATCCTGCTCGATAGGGGAACCAAAAAAATATAAGCATAAGCAGAATAGAGAATGAAAACAAAAGGAAGCGTACAAATTCAGTGGAGAAATTCAACAAAAGCTTTTGCTATATTTTTAGGGGCGCGCGCTAGTGACTTGCTGACTTGGAACTTATACATACACACAGCTTTCAGAAAAGGTATAGACACTACGACTATGCCTACTATGATAGCACAACCAAGTGGAGCCAAAAGCAGATAGGGAGCAGCACATTTTCTGAGTGGGTTGACAAAAAGTCAAAACTGTATAGGCTCTTTAGTCCCAACTGCATATGTGTACCTCTATACCACATTACTATGATACTATCTAGTAAAGTTAGCCAGTTCCCATGATTGTGATTCCTGTAGCCAGCTTAGAATTCTACTGGTATGTAAAAATTAAATTCCTGCCAAGTTGAAAAGTATAACCAAGGCCATTAAAAACTCACAAATGCTCTGAATGCAGCCTTATGAGAGCTCATTTCATATATACAGCAACCTGGATAAGAAAAATTATGGAGAGCATCAACACACGCATGCATCTCAATTATAAGAGCACATCAGAACTTTTAACAGTCTGCATACCTAGAGACCAAATATCAGATTTTGAACCATAAGGTATATCAGCGAGAAGCTCGGGGCACATATAACTTGGAGTTCCCACAACCTGAAATGCACCATAGTTATTGGTAAACAAAAACTTGAAAGAATGTCTTTTTGCAAGTGTAACTGAGCAGATCTTGAAAGTTTGGATTGAATGACTTACAGATGAAGCCAGGTCATCCGAGGTCAAAATCTTTGCAAGTCCGAAGTCACCTGCATCAATATTGCCCTTTAGTTGGGTACCTTCAATCTAAATATCTGAGTGAGTATTAGATGTTAAAAAAACATATAACTTACCTAGACGAATGTCTTGATCTTTTGTCAAAAATATATTGGAACACTGGAGAAGTGCAAATGGAATTGGTTATCGGAGTCTGGAAAATCAGATGTCTTGGAGAATGGATAATATTTACATTAAATACACAATATGGTCACACACCTTGACATCGCGATGGAGAATGTGATTCATGTGCAAGTAGTCGAGCGCCATGAGAAGTTGAACAATCCACTTGCATAGTCTCTGAAGATCGAATTACTATCAATCAGATGAAAAACACCTACAAACTCAATATCTGCATCTACGGACTGATGGATCTTAAAAGTGTACTCGAAGGACAGTATATTGCAGGACTAACTGATAAGGAGAGGTGAGAACAATAGAGAAAAGAGAAGGACCTCTTCAGAGAAAAGAACACCATTGGCTTTCTTTATAGCGTCAGCCCTAGAACACAAAGAATATATTGCTTGGATTAGTCCACTTCAATATTACAAAGTATAAGGTTTAATCAGAGTGTGCAGAGAAACAAAACTTACATGTCTCCTCCTTCACAATAACCTATGATAATGCATACATAGCAACCCTGAGTAGAAAAAGCACCCAATCATCCTACATTAGACCTTCCACACAGGTAACTTAACCACACAAGAAATTATGCAACTAAGAGAAAGAATTCTTCACTAGTTCAATTAACCAAAGTACCAAACCAAAGAACTCAAATGTTTCATGGTCATAGGAAGGAAACTAAATCTTCCCTTGTCTAACAATATATTGAATCGAATCGAGAGTTAGGAGATAGGAGAGAGAATATGTTTGCAGATTTAGGCAAGGCAGGATACTAAGAAGTACATGAAGCACCCAAGGACTATATTCTAGGATTTCAATGGGGCTGGTAGTTTCTAGAGGAAAACTGCATCCTTTTATGAGTACTTTTTGATGTTATTAGCTAATACAAATAAAAACTTTCAGGAGCAACAAGCATTGATGGATGCCTTCTGAGCAGACACACCATATGTTACACCACACCCAAGTCATTGTCATCCATTCAATTTTTGCAGAATAAGGGAAATGGAAAAACCTTAAACCCTTGGGAACAAACAAGTGGAAAGTGGAAATGGCAGTGAAGGGGCACACTATACCTTTTCAACCCAGGAGTCTTTGTACTCTACAATGAAAGGATTTCGTATTCTAGAAATCAGCTCCATCTGCACAAAAGTGAGGATGGTTTATGGCCAACATCCCAGATCAGTCCCAAATAATTATTCAAAACATATACATACCATCAGCAGATTACTGAAACTACACCAACTCTCCATGAGGAATGTGATTCCAGCACGAAACTAGAAAAATTCATTTTTATTTTTAGTGCATGTAAAATGGTTCTTTGATACATAAACTATTATTAAAAATAGTAAGAAATTTCCACTTGGTTGGCAGAGACCCTGTGAAAATCTCCACGGAAACAAATATCCTAGAGGATTAAGAGATACTTGTGGAAACTGACACTTATTTTGACTCTCAAGATATAGCCCTGAATGCTAGAGAAACCATAGTTGCAAAAGAAGAAGCAAACTGGCCTCTTGATGAGCTGATCGCCGTGATCTATCAGTTTGACGAGCAAGGCGGATCTTCTTCAACACATACCTTAACACGACCAAAACATCAAGCAGGGATTGAGTGAAACCGTGTACAAGTTCACATGAACAAAGAAGAAATAAAAGGAGAGAACTGAAGGGAGCAAAAGTTTCAATTCATCATCTCACTTCTTCTTTTCATGCCTGTGCCTCACAAGAAGAGCAGAGCCAAATGACCCCTTTCCTATCTGTTCTAGTACTTCGTACTGCTCCATGCTATTAAACACTTTGCTTTCCCTGCATAAATAGACACATTGAAGCTGTCATCAATTTTGTCCACATATTATCCCCTACTCAAATTGAAGTCTTCGAAAACCCACCAAAAGTGAGAGAAGAAATCCGTGAAAAAAGTGAAAACAACCAAGAAAGGAAGCACCACTACCGCAATCAAGAAAGTTCTTCTAATCCATGAATATCAAGAAAAACGAAAGCCCCGAGACCATGCAACTATGCAAGGACAAGAAACTCATTTAAAAGATTGTGCGCCGGTACAACCACGGATTAACACCGGAATCACCATCACTAAGGTGGTGTTGACTAATTGTTCTCCGCAATTCTCAATGAAGAGGAATCATGAAAAGACTCAACTCAGCTCAAAATCCAAATTCATTGGAGATGGTGGAGATGGAAATTCGTTGGGGGAGCAGTGGAGTTCTTGGATGTGCGGTTTCTTTACTCATTAGCGTACAAATAGTAGCAGAAAAAGAGAAGGGGGGAAATTCGATGCGGAAATATAGGAACTAATCACATTCCAACAAAAGAATGATTCTGCGAAGGAGAGCAAGCGCTTCAACCGCAGTTTTCTCGCAAGTTTCTCAGCAACCAAACAGTGTCATTATCAAGCTGAGGAAATTTAGAAAAAAGAATCGAATAAAGAAGCAGAGGAAATTGGAGAACAAGAGAGAAAGCAAACAAAAAGAAAATCCAATTAACAGCGGCAGCTAACTAAAACCCACAAATTCCGCAGAAATCAACAGAGACTCAGCTAGCTCGACCTCGCATTTTCAACTCGAACCTTCTTGTTCTTTTTTTTTCCCCAACCAAGTGAAATTCAAAAGCGCAAGTTCGAATTGGCGAAGGAAAAAGATCCGCTCCCTCCCACACCACACTCCTGCCGCAGTCAATGCAGCTCCGGAAATGGAGAGGTGAAGTGAATCTGCAGATTCGCGCGGGGGAGAGCTAGGCAGAGAGGGGAGTATTGAAGGAGCAAGAAGAAGCATGATTCGAGTACCTGAACGGCGGAGGCTGGAGGAAAGCTTGATGAAATGCGGATCCGAAGATCGGAATGCGGCGAGGAAGGAAGAGTTAACTAGTGGCGGCGGTGGTGTTCCTTGGGCGGAGAGGAGTCGGTGGCGTTTGGAGGAAGGGGAAGAGGAGAGGAAGGTGTTGTTTGTCGTTGCTGTTGTTGTTGGAGGAAGAGGAGCAGTAGCTCTGGAGACATGGGCAGTGTGACTTCTCTCTGCTTGCTCTCTCTGTCTCTGTGAGAGAAGAGGCGGAGAGAAAATGACAAAAACTTTGGAGTTATGGGCCACAACCTTCTCTCTTCAGTCTTCGCCTTCTTCCCGCATTTCTTTATTTATCGAGGGAAAAAAGTTTTTTTTTATATAAAATGGTGAGAAATAAAAAGTGGGAAAATAAAGGTTATGTCAAGATTAGATTAGTCGAGTGGTCTGTCAGACTTTTGATTAATCATGGTGAAACATTGGTTAAAATAAAGGAGAATTTTAGTTTTAATGATACTTATTCAGCTAAATAACTTTTCATGCAATATATCCTAATTTTGTCTAGAACTAGAAACAAATTGATTTGCTTCGGTGATGATGTAGAATCAGAATTTATTATACAAACCACTCGAGCGATGTAGTTTCTAACACAAAATTATCGATATTGTTACTAGGGAAATGTAAGATTCCACGGGAGTAGAACTTATATCTTGATATTAAAGCACTGTTATGATACTATTATGATTGAAATTAGATGATAATTCACATGTTGCTTCTTCGCTAGGGATCAGAAATGGTGTGGTCTGGTCCAGATCGCACCATATGTACGGTCTGCGGTTCAGATCGAGAGACTAGAGTATGGATCACAAACCAGATCACAGACTATACGGTGTAATCTGGTACGGTCTGGTCTAAATAGACCACACCGAATGAAAATGAACAATTTGATTAGTCAACAACACAAAAAATTTAACCAATAGCCAAGAAAAAAATTTGTTTTTTTTCCTTAAAACATAAATTCCAACATGCATGGATAATTTTGATACCATAAATCTCAGTAGATATCAAAGATACAAAGTCAAAGCATCCTGACTTCCGCTATAACGTCATAAACATTAATATAATGTCATATGGAGACACAATCGTCTTTACTCTCTAGTGAAATGTGGTTGTAAATGTAACACCCTACCCTATACGTATTACCTAATCATATTGTTCATACAATTGCAGCGGAATTTATCTCGGGTGTTACATTAATTATCAAAATTTACCCAAATAAAATTTCGACATGAATTACTCGCGTAATGGGCTAACAGTTCTTGCAACTTATCCTGCAAAATAATTCATCACAAACATATATACTCACAACCATATGCATTGGCTTTTCTTAGCCATAGCCACACTTTTCATACTCCACAACTGCATACCATACTTGTACATACCATAATCGTCACAACTTACACAGTTACACAACATATACACATATCATCAACTTTCCACACCTGTGGATATCTCACACTACATTAAAAGCTAGTATGCACATGAAAAACGTTCTCAAAACATTTTTACAAAAAGGTGTGGATCACTGGCCAAAATCCCGAGTAGTAGTCCAAGCACAAAATAGTTGAAGACAATACATCATCCTGCCTTCAACTCCTCGCTCTACCCACACCTAAGTACTTGCTACTGCTACTGCTACTGCTGATGATCTGCTTACACGTAGCATAAGCAGAGGAAAAGGATAAAAGAGGGTCAGCTCATAGCTGAGTGAGATAATCATAGTATCATGAGTTCATAACAGAGCATACCCCTACCATACATTCTAGCAAACAAGCCAAAGCACTAGGATCAAACCTCAGCCATCCTCATGTCCCAATGGGCAAAAGAATCAACCACCTTGACTTATGCATATGCGTCTTATCATGTTTTACTTATAGGCGCCTGGCTACTCCCATGCTAATTACTCTCCCGGGAATACGGACCAAACATCTCGTAGATGTGGTCATATCGGACTCACCATTACCGGTGTGGTCATATCGGACCTGACACCACTCTGGGTGTGGTCATATCGGACTCAACACCACTCTGGGTGTGGTCATATCTCATGATGAATCAACGGCCAACACCACATCAGGGGTGTGACATAACATATCATAACGGAGTAATAGCATGGGGAGCCCTAATTACTATGTAATTGACCATGAGACCAAAACACTCTTATTTGGTATCCTTATACATGATTCATATCTCATCTTGCTTAATCATCATTCGTTACTTGGACATGTTCTTGACCTGGCCACAATTGGCTCAACATAACAAGGAGTCGTATAATTGCACTTCCTCGGGATGAACCCTCATGCAAGTCATCCTCCTTAAACATCATAATATCACCCTGGGAAGTTTATTCCCCTACTTATGGATCCAAATACAACCATAATATCACATCATGTCAAAACACCTTATCGAACAACCAGGAAGTCATATCAACAGTTAAGCCACAAATGACAACATGTATGCAATCATTGAAATAAACAAGGTCCATATCGATTAGGGCAAGTCAATAATATCATACAGCAGTCTATAGTTCATCATATAGCAGAAAGGTCCATACACCCCTAATCATGCCATTCTAGTTCACCTAGGTCAATTCTAAGCATAAGTATAATTATCGTGATACGACAAACCCGGTATGCCGTGCTAATCCCTCACCAGTTCTGGTCGTTCTAACACCGGTTCTAGCCTCCCGTACTAAAACGTCAATTTCACGAACGAACCCCGAATTAAAATCCGAGACCGTCCTAATATCCCCTGCAGTATCCCCGTCAATATTAGTTCTACGCTCCGGGTCAAATTCTTGATAAAAACACATCAAACCCTGGCCGGAGCTAAATTCAGCGATTTGGACCCCGACCTAAATAATAGCCGAAATTCAGGGATTAGAACTAGAGGATTGATTACCTCGCTGCAGTAAGCTCGTATATGAAATTTGGGCTCAATCCGGCTTCCGGATACTCCGAAACCCTAATTTGGCTTATCGGGAATTCAAGAAATTCCTGAACCAAAATCTCGTTTTAAAACTTTAAATCAATAAATCACGATTTATAGATGGATTAGGCATTACCTACAAGATTTTTGGATCAGAAATGCTCAAGAATTGAGCTATGAAAATTCCCCCTCGCGATGCCCTGTGCGCGGTCTGTGCTCTCGGTCCAAATAAATGGAACCGAAGAAGATTGATGATGGAGATAATGGACAGGGGGAAATGTTAATATATATGCGGCCGGCGCTAAATGTAATTATTATATATATATATATATATATATATATAATATATATATATATTATATATATATATATATATAATTAATTCGTATACTTATCCGATCGATCGATAATCCGATTTTCGTCGAAATACTGTCAAAATGTTCGATTTTAAATCGTGAAATTTTCTAGTGGCAGTAATACGATTTTAGCCGAAACGGAATGTTACAATTCTCCCCTCCTTAAAAGATTTCGTCCCCGAAATCTAACCTTGAGTTGATACTACGCATCCGCTCGATCTCCTCTTGGAAGACACTATCACATATATTGTTACTACCTAACTCTTAGGTTAGGAGATCTGAAGTACATAACTAAACACATAACACCTCAAGTTCCCAATATAAGGTTTCAAAAACCTATACTGGGTTATCACAACATAAGCACATCAACAAGTTCAAAAGTATAATTCACTAAACCAAGTTATTAACCTGCAAGGTAGATTGCCACTAACACAAGGTTATATCAACTTACAAAATTGTTACCACAAAATCATCCCGATTCATATCTCTATTCAAATATCTACCATCACAACTCATCATGTTAGCACAACCTTAACTCAACTGCATTGCGTAGCTAGCCACCATGCTTCTCGATCGGTTAGTACTCATATTAAAAGTACTTCTGTGCGAGCTACAAGGAAACATTGGCCTTAGTTTGATCCACACACCATTTGTGTCTAGCCAAGTTACTCACTTGGTTGAAACAAAACTTTCTTCAAAATCATTATTTGGACAACAAGATAAAAACTCCACATATTTTCAAAAATCTCTTAAACCATAAAATTTTTAAGATTCCTGCAAATACTCAAAATCATGTTTGACCATGTGCAACTGACTATGCAACACATCATCACCTTTGGTCCAAATCCTGAAAAGTTTAGTGCAAGTACAGGTATGGAGTACTCCCTCCCTTTTTTGAGGGTGATCAGTCCCCAAGGGTGAAAGTAACACACCCATAATGCAGAAAACAAACCAGCTCTGATACCAAACTGTAACACCCTACCCTATACGTATTACCTAATCATATTGTTCATACAATTGCAGCGGAATTTATCTCGGGTGTTACATTAATTATCAAAATTTACCCAAATAAAATTTCGACATGAATTACTCGCGTAATGGGCTAACAGTTCTTGCAACTTATCCTGCAAAATAATTCATCACAAACATATATACTCACAACCATATGCATTGGCTTTTCTTAGCCATAGCCACACTTTTCATACTCCACAACTGCATACCATACTTGTACATACCATAATCGTCACAACTTACACAGTTACACAACATATACACATATCATCAACTTTCCACACCTGTGGATATCTCACACTACATTAAAAGCTAGTATGCACATGAAAAACGTTCTCAAAACATTTTTACAAAAAGGTGTGGATCACTGGCCAAAATCCCGAGTAGTAGTCCAAGCACAAAATAGTTGAAGACAATACATCATCCTGCCTTCAACTCCTCGCTCTACCCACACCTAAGTACTTGCTACTGCTACTGCTACTGCTGATGATCTGCTTACACGTAGCATAAGCAGAGGAAAAGGATAAAAGAGGGTCAGCTCATAGCTGAGTGAGATAATCATAGCATCATGAGTTCATAACAGAGCATACCCCTACCATACATTCTAGCAAACAAGCCAAAGCACTAGGATCAAACCTCAGCCATCCTCATGTCCCAATGGGCAAAAGAATCAACCACCTTGACTTATGCATATGCGTCTTATCATGTTTTACTTATAGGCGCCTGGCTACTCCCATGCTAATTACTCTCCCGGGAATACGGACCAAACATCTCGTAGATGTGGTCATATCGGACTCACCATTACCGGTGTAGTCATATCGGACCTGACACCACTCTGGGTGTGGTCATATCGGACCTGACACCACTCTGTGTGTGGTCATATCGGACTCAACACAACTCTGGGTGTGGTCATATCTCATGATGAATCAACGGCCAACACCACATCAGGGGTGTGACATAACATATCATAACGGAGTAATAGCATGGGGAGCCCTAATTACTATGTAATTGACCATGAGACCAAAACACTCTTATTTGGTATCCTTATACATGATTCATATCTCATCTTGCTTAATCATCATTCGTTACTTGGACATGTTCTTGACCTGGCCACAATTGGCTCAACATAACAAGGAGTCGTATAAT